AGGAAAGGTGGGTTTGATTTAGGGGAATTCAGCCCCAAATATGGGAAATCTCAAAGGAAAGGTGGGTTTGATTTAGGGGAATTCAACCCCAAATATGGGAAATCTCAAAGGAAAGGTGGGTTTGATTTAGGGCAAGGGAAAGGTGGGTTTGATTTAGGGGAAGGGAAAGGTGGGTTTGATTTAGGGGAAGGGAAAGGTGGGTTTGATTTAGGGGAATTCACTCTGAATTCCAGCTTTCCCAAGCAGATGTGGATGATCTGCTGGCTCTGCCTGGCCTGAGGGAACAGGATCCACTCCAGGCTCTGTTCCTGAAGGGATGCAGCTCCTGCCTTGCCCCAGCCCCTCCAGGACAGCCTGGATTTCTCTCTCTCTGTCTCTCTCACCTGGTGAGGATTTCTCACCTGGTGCCCCTCGGTGCCGTTGGCGCTGCGCCGCTGCCGGCCCCTCTTGGGGTACCCGTTGATCTTGCACTCGTAGCAGGTCTCAGGGGACAGCAGGTTGTCCTCATCCTCCTCCTGGGGGGCAGGCAGGTAGGGACCCTTCCCAAATCCCAAACCAGAAATGCAGTGGCTGGTGGGAGGAGAGGAGAGGAGAGGAGAGAGAGGCAGCTCAGAGGCAGGAACCCATGGGGATGTCACCATCCATGGGGATGTCACCATCCATGGGGAATGTCACCATCCATGGGAATGTCACCATCCATGGGGATGTCACCACCCATGGGGAATGTCACCACCCATGGATCCAAGGGAAGTGTCACCATCCATGGATTCTAATCAAAACTTTACCTCAAACCTCCATGCCAAAAGCTTTTAACATGAACTTTAACACTTGTAACTTTCCTTTAAATCCCTTTAAGGCCCCTTCCCATTAAATCTTCCTGCTCAAGCTGCCACAGAGGCAGCAGAGTTCCCAGGGCTCAGAAATCCTGGGATCAAACAGGAGCAGGAGCAGAGCTGCAAATTTCCACCCTGAAACATTCAGGGCACAGAAGGAACAGAGGAATCCCACGTCTGGCTCCTCAAGCCCCAGTTTTTCCAGTCTCTCCCGAGTGTCTCAGAGCAATTCCTGCTCTGTTTCAAATCCCAAATCCCCTCTGTCTTTCCTGCTGCAGTGACAGGGACCTACATCCATTTACAGTCACAGCTCTCATCACTCTGAGTCCCTAAAAACCTCAAATTCCAGACACTCCTGTGACCACTGAACCGTTTGTCACAGCCTGCTGCTCTTCCCAAACCCCAGATCAGAAGCCAGGAGCACATCCCAAATTCCTTCAGCCTCCCCAGGACTTCAACAAAAGCCACTTCTAATTAAAACTTCGCTTCTACTCAAAGCTCTCTGCCAAAAACTTTCAACGCGAACTTTAACACTCGTAACTCCTCACCTTCCGAAACCAACGTGCAATAAACAACCTCACACCAACCAACAACTACACAGCTCTTAAAAAAAAATTTAAAAATAACAACAACAACAACAACCCGACACGGGAGGAGACGCTGCTGACACGAGCGAGGAGCAGCTGAGGATTCCCTGCCCCACATTTCCCTGGAATTCCCGGCTCCTTACCCCTGTCCTGCCCTGAAGTAGCCCCCGGGGCAGCCGCACAGGTAACCCCCGTCCGTGTTGGAGCAGCCGTAGCTGCAGGGGCTGCCCCCGGCCGAGCACTCGTCCACGTCCTGGCAGCCCCCGAAGGTTTGGTCGAAGTCGAAGCCCGAGGGACAAACGCACTTGAAGCTGCCCAGGGTGTTGTAGCAGGAGGCAGAGCCACAGGCAGAGGGGCTGGAGCACTCGTTCTCATCTGCGGGGATGGTGGGATCGGGGGGTTATGGGGTTATGGGATCGGGGAGTTATGGGATCGGGGAGTTATGGGATTGGGGAGTTATGGGGGTTATGGGATCGGGGGGTTATGGGATCGGGGGGTTATGGGGTTATGGGATCGGGGGGTCATGGGATTGGGGGGTTATGGGATCGGGGAGTTATGGGGGTTATGGGATCGGGGAGTTAAGGGATCGGGGGGTTATGGGATCGGGGAGTTATGGGATTGGGGGGGTTACGGGATCGGGAGGTTCCAGGGTGTCCCCTATAGGTGCAGGGTAACCCCCACAGGTACAGAATGCCCCCCACAGGTATGGGATCCCTCCCACAGGTACAGAATGCCCCCCACAGGTACAGGGTAACTCCCACAGGTACAGGATGCACCCCACAGAATTCCTTCTCCCCAGGTATGGGACCCCACCCCCAGGTATGGGATCCCTCCCCCAGGTACAGGATGCCCCCCAGAGAATTCATCCCACAGGTACAGAATGCACCCCCCAGGTATGGGACCCCTCCCCCAGGTATGGGACCCCTCCCCCAGGTATGGGATCCCTCCCCCAGGTATGGGACCCCTCCCCCAGGTGTCCCCACTCACCCACGCACTGGTTCCACTGGTAGTGCTGCACGTAGCCCTGGGGGCAGCCACAGCGGTAGCCCCCGAGCACGTTCTGGCAGCCGTGCTGGCACCGGTGGTTCCCATCACACTCGTCCACATCTGCAGCCAGGGGACACACAGGGAGTGAGACACTGCCCCCTTGTCCCCTTGTCCCCTGTCCCGGGCTCAGGGACCCTCCAGGCTGCTCCTGTGCCTCGTCCTGGCTCTGCAGGGA